CCTCTGGAGTCCAGTTAAGCTCATGCCTACTGCTTCAGTGACTCCATTCAGCCACCTCATTTTCTGTCATCCCTTTATTCTTTTCCCTTGGTTAGTCCTTGGTTAGCAATGGCAATTGGGATTGGAATTGCCATTGCTAAACAATGCGGCTATAAATCACAATGTAATATGAATATGCTGCTTAGTAATGGGACTACTGATTGTCGTTAAGGTCCTCACATGACAGCACATGACCCCTCCTCTCCGTACAGACAGTTATTTTGGGGCTGCTTCCTTTTGTGCTACAAACTGACCATCTCCCTGTATTTTGTGTAAATGTTTGACATTATTCATTTATGGAATATGCTTCTCTTAGATTGCCTATTCTGACTGTAGTCCTGTCATGCTTCTCTCTGAAGCTTCTTTGGAAGAGCTTAATTCTAGAATGGAGAAGAAAGTTCAAATACATAACTTCAGGCCAAGCATTTTGGTCACTGGTTGTGGTCCTCATGAGGAGGTAAGGTAGGACATAATTTTGCACTTACATATGCATGTAACTGTTTAATAAAACATTTTTAAACTTGTGCTTCTCACAGGAGTCAGCCAGGAAGTTGGCTGGAAATCTAGAAAATGAACATACGGCAGGCACTAAATTGAGGAAAAGTTCATGTTATTGCCAGTTGTCTTTGCAGTGAAAGGAAGCTTTTTTTTAACTTTAGTATATTCCTAAATTAATTGAAGAGGGAGGGTGTCTAGTGTGGGTAAAAATAATAATGCTAACCGTGCTGAATATAATATTTTTTAAATCATTTACTTCAATAAAAAGTTGTAATGTCAGTTATTTTCCCTGGCAAGTGGAAATATCAATCTGCTCTTTGTTTGGTCACAGTGAATTTCTAGGTTCAAGGTGAAATCAATCCTAAAAAATCAGTAGTAAAAACATAAAATGCATGATGAAGCAATGCAGTAAGGGGTCTCATTTGCTTACACTGAATAATAGAATTTTAAAATACACGAAGTATCCTTTCTTGGAGAAAACCAAAGAACCTGTGTGACAGACTAGAGTTCCAAGACTTTAAAGCTTTAGATTAGGTTAAAGGTTAGTTTTCGTAAGTAAAATTTATTCCAAAAATAAGTGCCATTGTAATATGTAGCAAAAAGTAGTATTTGGAAAAATTACAGTATTGATGATTNTATACGTCTCGTCGGCTGGACTGAGTTAAGAAAACTGAGCCCATCCGGCCAGTGGAGGCGTGGTCACCAATTTACTTAATTCAGTCTCAAGGCTAATGGACAAAGTTAACCCATGCTTGGATTCCCCAAGCAGCACACAGGAGAACTTATAAAGATGTAATTTCCATCCCCTTCTTCAGTCCTCATTCATATATTCATACACATCATTTGTACTAGTAAGAAACATGATATTACTTTACTTAAAGATTATTCAGAGAACGCTTCTGGTGAGGCATGAGAATCTATGATTGTGAGGGAATTATGGCTCAAACAGACAGCTGCAAATGAGGTCCGGACTTCCAAAACTTTCTCTGGAAGAAACAGAGATCTGGAGATTGCCCATATCTCCAGATATGGGCAATCTCCCATAAGTTATGGCAGTTATCTGCCATAACTTCAGACAGTTGGTTTTTGTGAGTAGACAATAGAAACCATTGTTTTTGCAACCAACTGCAATCGCTGGAAGTTGTGGGTTCCATCATGCTTTGAGCCATAAATGCAGCCTCCAGATTCTACAAACCACATCCTTTTCATCAGTTTCATCACATTTTACCTTTCTCATTGCTCCTTTAAGATTGAAAAACCTTGGAAATCACAAGTCTACTAGTTGTGTGGAATTCTCTTCAATCCATTTAAAAAGAAACAGCATCACATTTTTCCAGCTTTGTAAGATCTTTATTTTTTTGCAATTTCTTTTAAATACAGCAAGGAGGCGATTTCAAAATTGTTTTTGTAAAGCTTTTATAAATCTGAAGGCTTTGTGAAATCAAGTTGGACTTTGAAGTTAATTAGTAAGCGCTCCTGTGTGGGAAAATATATCTTGTTTACATATCAGTTGCACAATAGTTGATAGTAGAAGATGGCTAATTTCAAGAAATTGTTCAGTTTATGGCCTGTGAAGTGCTTGGATTTTTTTACCCTTTACTGGAACCAAGTTACAGCAAGATGAACAAAATCCTTCTGGGGATAAACTGAAATGATTTCTAAGATGGATTTAACAATTACAGTTTGTTTGATATTTCCCCCCCGCCGCTGACAGACTGACAGAGGTTTCCACCAAGGTCCTCTGTTCCGGCAGGAACAGAGGTTGAATCCCATGGTCAAGAGGTCTGACAAATCCCTTTAAAAGAGGATGCTGCCCGACCATTCCTCAGTTGGATGTTTACTTGACTTGCAATAAAGAGCTGTTGCTACTGAAGCCTTTGTGTGCCTCCTTTACCCAATCTAACAGAGTTTAAATAAATAGAAATACTGGATTTATAAATGCTACCCTTTTAAACTGAAATATAAGAGATTTACTGGAGTTATTTCATGAAATTACAAATGGACTTGAAAGATGATAAGAACTTTGAGAGAAGAGGGAAAGTTATTTAAAGAAAACAGAAATTTATTTATGGAACTTAAGGTTTTTTTTGGGGGAAATGAAAATACATACTTTGCTAGCATTTTCCCAACCCCTCTGGAGAGTTTCTGAGCTTTCTAGAAGAGAGTGAAAATGTGAATGGATTAACATTTGCCCCTGCTTCCAAGGATTTTCTTAGCCTTCTGGAAGGGAGAAGAATATACCACCGGTCTTTGCTAGAGTTTTCATTAGGTTTGAGGTTTGTTCCTGAGAGTGAGAGAGAATGACTGTACTGCCTTTTTGAGGAAACTAGCAGAGAAAATGTAAATGGCAATCACTTGATCACAGTAATAAATGCAAACAGATTGCCAACCACTCAAAATGCAGTCAAGTTCAGAGGAAGGCCAACAAAATGGTGAAGAGTCTGAGAAGTACTGTTAAGTTCTTTAAATATCTGAAAGTTTGTCAAATATTTGAAAGTTAGAAGAGGGGGAGGGGACTTATATCTGCTGTTCCAGAACAAATAAGTTGAAACAACCAGGATGAGAACCAGTGGGTTAAAACAATAAGGAAGGAGGCTTAGATTAGACATTAGGAGGAACTTTCTGACTATTTGAACTGCCAGCCTATGGAAATGTAGCTAGTCCTTTGTTAGAGGTCTTCTAATAGAAACTGGGTGGTCATCCTTCAGAGAATCTTTAGTGAATCCTGCACTGAGCAGGCAGTTGGACTAATTTACATCTATGATCACTTTCAACTCTGTAATTCTATTAAATGCAGTGGTGGTATTCAAATAATTTAACAACCAGTTCTCTTTCCTAATGATTTATTCCAAAAACCAGTTCACCAAACTGCACAGAAAGTTAACAACCGATTCTCCCGAAGTGGTGCAAACTGGCTGAATCTCACCACTGATTAAATGTAATTGTAGTGTGTAGCAGAGATCTTATTAATGCCTTTCACAATTCTTTTAGGATATTTGGCTTTGATGTTCAAGGCAGAGATTGTGGAGAAGATGCCGCTCAATGGATTACAGCCTACTTAAAGTCAGAACCATACCGCTTGGTTTGTTTTGAACCAAATATGGTTCCAAGGAATTCAAAAGATTTAATGGAACCTTTTCGTCCCACTGATAAGGTGAGCTTTGATCAGTGGTACACGTTACAGTATAAGTGAATCTTTTTTTCAACCCATATTCTTTTTTTATCATGTACTCAAAATAAATTGAATGTATTTAAGTGTGTAATTATTAGTCATATTCATTTCTTTATGCACATGCAAACAGAGCTAATCTCCAAACTCTATATAGAATTGGACCTATAGTAATTAGTATTTGAATGAAATATTACCAGGCAGAACCAGGGCAATAGAGAGGATTGCAAAGTCAAAAACATTCCGTAAGAAGGTGATGCTAGACTATTTCCATAATGCTGTCAAGAAAAAGGCAATTGAGTTTCACTTAAACTTACTGTACACTTATACACTGCATAGGAATGGTGATTGATGCTAAAAGACAAATATAATGGAATAAATGTTTTAAAAAGTACCACTGTGTGGGAGATCCTTTTGCAAGGAGAGCAGCCTTGTAATCAGTTTCCAAGTGATGGATAGCTGGGTTCTTTGTTGTAAAACCTGAATAGATTTGATTATCATGTGACAAATCTATTTTTTCTTCAGCAAATGACTGGTCGGATATTTTAATACATCATTTAATGAGACTACCAGAGATCACAAATAATCCTTGGTTTGTTGTTGTTGTTGTTAGTTGCGAAGTCGTGTCCGACCCATCACGACCCCATGGATAACATTCCTCCAGGCCTTCCTGTCCTCTACCATCCTCTGGAGTCCAGTTAAGCTCATGCCTACTGCTTTAGTGACTCCATTCAGCCACCTCATTCTCTGTCATCCCTTTATTCTTTTCCCTTGGTTAGTCCTTGGTTAGCAATGGCAATTGGGATTGGAATTGCCATTGCTAAC